TTCCCTTCAACCAATTAGAGACCCACCTTACTACTTGGTCACTCAGACCACACTGCCTCAGTTTACCTATCAGGATGCTGTGGGAGACGGTGTCAAATGCTTTGCTGATATCCAGACAGACCACATCCCCTGCATGGCCACCATCCACCTGCCTGGTTATGTATTCACAAAAGGCTCTCAGGTTGGTCAAACATTACTTTCCCTTGGCAAAGCCATGCTGACTGCTCCTAATAACCTTCTTATCCTTGATATGCCTAGAGACAATGTCAAGGATAAAATGTTCCATCATCGTCTGGATATTATGCAAATAGGGATGGATTCCTTAGTTACTATCAAATAAAATGACTGAAAACTTTAATGCTGTCATTTACTACATGGCATCTGCAAGAGCTTTATATGCTTGAGACACACAAAATCTAAGACTTTAAGAGTTAAGTTACAAGAGAATGGATTTAGTCATTGCCTCTAGGGAATTTCTTTTCTGTTTGGATCCATAAAAATGAAGAAATCCCTGTTAATGTCATTGAGAAAGAAATTCTATTTAATGAAAACAATAATTGGTTGTCCTGTGGTGAACAATTTGATATCATCAAGAAGATACTAATTTTTCTTGTTTCCTGTAAATAAATCACGTCTTTATTTAGCTATCATCAAAATGCTGTATTCCTTGAAAGAGAAACTACCAAGTGAAGAAAAAAAGACCTGCAAAGAAATAGGAACAACCAGTATCACAGCAGTATTGTTACCTGTAATTTAACAGGTTCTGGAAGTTTCATCTGAAGGAGTCCTTCCTTTGGCACTTGTTCCCCTCTGGTTTCTTCCTCTCCTTCTTCCACCCTGAGCTCATCTGACCTCAACTCCTTCTCTGAGAAATTAGTTTCATCCTCCTGGCTCATTGCTTCTTTGAAAACACGGGGCTCAATCAACTGCAAGATGTGCTTCAGATCCCCATTGTGGAAGATTCCCATAATCAGGAGGGTGTAAAAGAGCTTGATGAGAGGGACGAATAGAAATTCTGTAGAACCTCCAACTGGATCTCTGACATGAAGGCTGCCCTCCTGAACAGCTTCAGTCAGCATCTCTATGGTTTTGGTCTTTAAGATTTCCAGAGGGAATTCAGGACTGAACTGAAAGCATTCACTGCTAATGCTTACAAAACTCGGGGAGGAGAACTGCATTCTCGGCCTTAATGAAGTGCTAAGTCCTATCCCGGGGAGGCCATGTTTTTTGTTTTCATCAGGAAACAAAGTAATACTCTTGGTCTCATCTGTCATTGGAACTATAAATTCATTATTCATCATTAACCTGGCAGTTGCATAGGTATTGAGATGGATGTCAATAAGTAAGTCATAATATCCTGCACGTAATAATCCTGGCATATATTTATTCTCAATAGCATACAGGAGCTGAGATTCATCCACATGGCTACACATAGCATGGGCCACTCGGTTGTTGCCTAAAGCACAAACAGCTGAATATAATCGTAGGGTATGGTAGTGAAATTTCAGCAGTTCTTCTTGTTCTGTCAGCTCTAAAATATCAATTGTTCTGCAGAGAAAAAAAAAGTGATTCAGTAAATTCCATATCAGTGCAAAAACTTGCTTAAGTGAAGGAATTAAAAATTCTCCTTAAGGCTAACATTGACACACTATCAGTTCTAGGGATGGAGTTTTTCTACATTTCAGCTTTTGTCTCAGAAACACTGTCAACCTAAGAATCAAGGATTAATAATCAAGTTCAATCAGGAATTCATTCAAGCCATTCCTAAAGTATAACTTGAATTACTTTCAGTGGGGAAAGATTAAAATTATTTACTTAACACTGAATACTTCTTCATACGATAAACAAGAATCTGTAAAACTGAAAATGAAGGTTTTAAAACTGATATAGGTTGAGATATTTATATAATTTATTTTTTTAGATCTGGAGTTGCAAAATGGCAAGAGAATAACTAGTTCATTTGCAGAGGGTCTGGAGGTAGTGTTGTTTGTTTAGAATTACTACTAATTTTTTAGAGATTTTTACTTTTGGTTTTGGCACCACCAAAATACTGAGACACTTGGGTAACAAGGAAATCACAAAGTTAAATGTCTTCAGTTGCTTAAAATAAATTTAGGAGAATTTAAGTAATTGAATAATTAAATTGGCCATAAATCTTAGAAAATACAAAACCAGATCTCTGCCTATCTTATAGATTATCTTTAATCACTTCTAAACAGAATTCCTTTAATTTTTAATTCAAAACTTATGTACTATTAAAGAGTTTGGAGAGAAACTAGGAGAGGTTGGAAACACACAAAGGAAGGCAGATTCTAACACACTGAAAAACAAGATTAATTTTTAATATTACGTAAATCAGAACACACTGCTTTTATTTACATGTGTTATATATACAGAGAAGCCCTTGGGCTCTTCCTATAGAAATTTTATTACATGTCTAGCTTCATAGTCCCACTCTAATATACTTCACCTCACAAACACCAACCTGTTTTCTTCGGGAATATGAAGGGCCATGAACTGCAGGGGATTCAGGCACTGTATCATCCAGCCTTGACGTTCACTGATCCTAGAGACATCAACCTTCAAGAAGTGGTTTGGCACTCTGCTCCAAAGCACATGAGTCAGAAACTGTACATGGAGACGTGGAGGACACTGAGAGACTGGGTTTTTATGTTCACTTTTGAATAAGCCAGCAGATAATGGCATTACATTCTGGAAAATTCCAAGAGAAGAGACGATCAGTTTCATCACTTTTACCAACCAACGAATATATGATATTTTTCAAGAAATATATTCAGCATATGGTACAGTAAAGTACAGTGCAACAGGAAATTAACATTTCCAATAGTTTTCAGAACCACCCAATAACTGGTGGAGGATTAGCAGCAAGACAGCATTGCCCATAGTAGCCAAATGTGAAATAGAAACTTGAATGGAACGTGTGGTCACTTCCTTGGACAACAGATCTGAACTCCGTTCTTCTTTTACCTCTTCTGATTTCTTAGACATCCACACGTCCTAAGCAACGAAGTAAATTTCAGCTCAGTTTTCTTGAGTGTACTGTTAGAATGTACTTTAAAACTATTTTAAAACCCTAGCCTAGTCTGCAGATACACCTGTTATTCACACTCAGTTTGTAGAATCAGAGATTTAGGCCCAGTGATTTTATTTCATCATGGAGATTCAGAAAATTCTTCAGGAATTTGCCATATCCTCTGCCAATTCTCTTCCAATGCACCGTACTTTAGATTCATGAAGAATTTAAAACTGAGTTGAGAATAAAATGGCAATAATCCAAACATTTGGAATCATAAAGATGTGCCCAATATCAAGAACACTTTGCAGGCAAGAGATGGCCAGGAAAAAAAAAAAAAAACCAGAAAAACTCAAACAAAACAATCGAGCATTATTTACCTTTATTCTTCCCAACTCAAACTGGAAAACATTGGGGCTTGTAGCTTGAGCAAATACAGCAGGAAATAACTTTGTACTTGGTTCAACCTAAATCAAAGACGCACAAATATATAACCACTGAAGACAGTAAAATACTATTGCATATTATAAAACTCCACCCTAATATCTATATTGGCAGTTAATAAGTGCAAGTCTTTGAATAAAACCCCAGGAAATTCAAACAGTAGAGAAAAATCACTGCTATAACAGTAACAACTGTTTCTTTCAATCTTGTACAAAAGTTTCTAATAAGATGCAGTCTGAGGATTCATTTTTTCCCCCTTCACACTAGAAGACATCATCAAAAAATACTCACCTGATAGTACGTGCCTAGTTCCTTGCCATTAGCTGTGAAAGTCAACAGGCCACTGGCAGCATCCACCAAGCAACCAATCTCCAGACCATTATTATTACGTCCTTGTCCAGGGCTCATGCTCTCTCCTGCGCACACCATATAGCAGTTGCTGCGTTTTATACTGAATGTCAAAACACAAATTTATTTATTGATGGTGTGTAAACTTTATGTCGTGGACTAAGAACAACTTTGCATGGCTGCAACCAACCATGCTTTGTGGCTGAAAAGAGCAGTGCCCACCATAGCCAATGCCAAAATTCAATGAAACCTAGACTTGATAATTGAAAAAATAAGCACTGAAGATGACAAAATATGAACGTCTTTCCAAGAGGTAAAACTGAATTTACAAGTTCATGTTTTATATCAGGTACTGTTAAGCACAACACAAAGTTTCTGGCATAGAACACAAGCTAAATTGCTGAGAGGAGCTGTTGTACTAATTTTGGCCTGTGCAAAACCAAAAATTTTAAAAATACTACATGGTATTTTGCACTACCTTGTACCAGTTCAGAAGTCAATATTTACAGGATCACGGTTGGAAACTGCATAAAAAAGCTGCACTGTTTCACTTTTCAGTGCATACTGATTTTATTAGCTCATTATTCCACTGTTTTATCACAAGGAAGAGGAGAGAAAAAGTGACACTTTTTCCTTCCCCCCCATCAACCAAATTATATAAATGGGGTGAATTTGCAGTTTATAAATCGTTAGTGGCTTTTACAAGTATAAAATATGTATCTTTTTCAAAAAACTGTAACCAACCTCTCATGAACCTTCCCTTTTTCATCTCCCAGTGTAACTGTGACAGTACGCACTCTGTCCAAGTCGAAGGTTGTGTCATACTGGTGAAAGTCAGATGTAATCCAGCCCACCCAGACATTAGCAGGTTCTTGACCAGGAAATATTCTCACTGAATAATAATACTGTCAATAAAAAACCCCACATCAGTAATGTTTGTATCCTGTACACTGTTTCCGGTGTATCAGTTTAATTCAGAATTAATCTGTTCTCTAAAATCTGAATATCATCTCTTCAAATGTAGCATAGGCTTGTTCAAGGGCACTTCACAAACAAAGCAACAAAAGAATATAAATGCAAACCAAAACACAACCAACAACATACGTATTAAAGAAATGGAAAATAATAACCATGCAACTTATATGCTTGTATTGTAGCCTTCTGTATCATAGCATCACAGGGCATTCTGTACTGTAGTTACAATTTTTTACAGTGTAGGTGACCTGGCTTCTAGTATTTAATATCTTTAGAAAGAGGAGTACACATCCAAAAGAGAAATATTTTTAACTGTGAACACCAAAGAGGGAGAGCTTATAGAGCTGATCTTGTCAGAAAAAGATGCACAAAACCTGCACAAAACTATCACTGGAAACTCCATTAAATAAATGATGAGTAAAATTAATGTGGATGTTTCCAAATGGTCTTGAACATTGGCATATTACTGTAATGCATTTCTCTCTATTTATTCTGCTATTCTACAACTATATATTCTTCCTCTGTTATGCTTGTTGTTATCAATAGTAGTTTCAAAAATTGCCTCAATTGATTCATGGCTTTCCATGTGGAAAGTCATGTCAAAACCAAAGGAACACTGCAGTCTCAACTTCAGTAGTACAGGACTAGCACAGACATTTAAATGAAAAATTTTCCCTGAAAATTACACTGTTTCTGAAGTTCTTACAAGCAAAAAACACATAGTTATTAGAAAGAAGAAAAAGCAAACAGCTAAAATACCAATCCTATGTTACGATACCGTGGAAGTTTGCATCAAATAATCATAGTCATCCCTGTCATCTGCAAGCACATCCTCAGTAAGTCGTGCAGAGTGACTCGTGCTATAATCAGGCTTTGTTCTCCTGAGCATAAATCTGTAATAAGTAGAATCAAAATCCATATGAAAAGCTCAATATATCAATATTTTACATTGATACATGTTATCCCTAAATGCGTAGTAATTATTATATTATTAATACATAATGCTAGGCAGTTCATTACTTTCATGTAGATCAAAGCACAGTAATTCATCCAGAAAAAAAGGCAAGAAACAAGGTCATTTGTAAAAGCACTTAAATGAATTCTACGCTTAAATTATATATTCAAAAGTTACCTGAAAACTAAACACACGTAACAAAATATTCTCAAGCTATGTCACTTTGGAAGAATATGGAAACTTAAATGACCTTAATGCATTTAAAAATACCATTCATATGCTCTGATTTATTCTGCAACTTAAATATTTAACAAACTGAGTTTGGTAAAGAAGAGCAGAAAAGGAACAGAAAGCTGCAATAACATTTTCCGGGCAATGGCCCAGTGTTTGCATCTCCACATTATCAAGTTAGGTGTTCTGCTCCTGATTCCATAAAAAAAATTAGGGAGAACAAACATGTCAACTAGAGAATATTCTTATGATAATTTGGTTCATTGAGTAAGATAATCTTTATTCCAAGTCACTCTGAAGACCCCCTCATTCTGTCAGAATGGACCTCCATGGGTTTAGAGTGCACTTCACATGCTGATCACAAAAGCCTTCACAATAAATCAAATTTTAAGTTTCTAATAGCTTGAAAAATTATTTCAATTTTCTGCTTAATTTAATTTTAATGGATATATTGTATATGACACAATTTAATCACACGAGGTGTAACTGTCCCACCTACTGTGTTATATTCAAATTTAGGGAAGAGTTAGGGGACAATTTCTGCAGACCTGACTGGCATTTTCCTCTACTATTCAAGAAACAGGGAAAAGAAATTTAAAAATGTAAATAAATAAATAAATAAAATAACTAACTAACCAATTAATTAATAAGCAAGTAAGTAAATTGTGCTACCAACCTTTGTTTAAGACGTGAAGGCTTTTCTTGAACATAATCTTTATGGTTGTTTAATTCTGGTTTTGTAGCATCTTTTTCTCTTTCTGTTCGGTCAGGAACTAGATGACCATGAGCAGTTTTCATCAGAACCTCAAAATCAGAATCAGCATCATAATCCTCCAAGTCATTCTTCGGGCCAAAAAGACCAGAGCCTGGTAACCCTCCTGCAGCTGATCTGGAGAACACCTCAGCACATTCAATGGGCATGCTTAATCGAAAAAACATGACGTCTGTTTTACTGTTCTGTGAACCAAAAGACTTCTGCGTGACCTTCAGGCAGGGGCAGCTGTCTATGGTGCCATCAATTCTCATCACCTAGCAAACGCAAAGATGTAGTTGTTTTGAAGCTGATGCTTTCTCCCACTTGTAAATATTCAATTTATATTTCCAGAATAAGTCCCAACAACTTGCAAAACTTGGAATGGTCACACGCATTGTAATCGTGTGCTGCCATTTTAATAGGAAAAAAATACTGCAAAGAGTGGAAGCTTTTGTTGTTCTGCTGTTAAAAAACACACTCAGAAAGGAATGACTTTTCTCATCATAACTCTTTGCCACATAAATTCAACCCAGAACAACACACAACCAGGTAATATGCCATACATGTATACGTACAAGTACACAAATTACTTCATAAATACTACATCAGCTGAAAAAGAGTCCTTATTTCCTCAATTTCAGAAGGATTTTACAGTACACTTAAAAGGCATGAACTCAGTCCCATCAAGAAGCATAACTGATGGAGACATAAGTGTTGACACAATTGGTTAGTAAACATTTATTAAAATCAAAACTAATTAGTTATGGAAAAATCACTTCAAAAAATGTGGGCACCAGAACACATGGTATCCGTCATGCATTTCTGGAAGTTATTTACAAACACAGCTCTCACTGCACAAGTAGCTCTTAGTGAGGACATCTTGAAGAATTTGTCTTAGAATCTCATGTTTACACATATGACAGATTTCATGGATAAAGAAATATGATCAACCAATTTGTTACATTATTTGCAATTCCACAAAATGCAAGATGTTTATAACAGGTGTAAGGTACATGCAGAATTGGGTCAACATATCACATGAAAAATCTTGTCTAGAAATGGAAATGCAGAAACATAATTCAAGTATATGCATGGAAGAAGTGACTAGAAACATTTTAATGGGATCACAAACCTCAATATGTTCATGATTTTGTGGCACTGGTAGAAACTGAGGGAGCCTTTTACTCAGCCAAATGGTGATGTCTCTGTTTGTATTAACAGCAAAGGGTTCATACCCTTCCTGTAAGCCACAGATAGTGAAATATTTTAGAGTGCTGACATCTTTTCCGAAGTTCATTCTTCCCACTTGAGATGGCCCCAGGCTGCACACAGGTAGAAATCCTTAAAACAAGACGAAAGAACACACGGGTCGTACATCATGAACATCAGAGAACTGCTCTCTCCAATAACTCAATTAAAAATTGTTTGGAAAAAAAAAATTAAATTCAAAAAAACCCCAAACAGCATAAATGCAAGCACTCATCAATACCACATCATCTCTTTCATGTCACCAAGTGCTGTATCTTGAACAACATTCGGAAAAAAAACATCCCTCTCTAATAGTCATGGAGCTATTAAGGAGTCTGACATCAAGGAGTCTGACAACCAGCTCTTGATTAATCTCTCTGTCAAGCTGGTAGCGTTGCCAGTTCTACTCCAAGTCTTACTACTTTTTATACTCCTCCTAAACTTCCATTATACATGGCATTTTGAGATAACTTCAAAAACTACTTTAAAAGTAACATAGTGCTTTTCCATGTAGCTGTCGTAGTGAAAAAAAAAAAAAATGCACCAACTGCATGCTGGAGAGTAAAATAAAAAAAAAATAAATATTCAAATTAATTAATTTAAAAAATTGTAATAGTGTGACTCAGGATAATGAGAACTAATATCATGACACTGTAGCTTTACGAAACTTATGGTAGTTCGGTTTTGGGCTGGGTTTTTGTTTTTACTTTTGAATCAGCTTCACATTGGAATGCATCTGATCTCTTACTGTTTCACTAGCACAGACAACTCACATATGACACCTTTGCAATCTTTAAGAAAAAGTTTGTTGGGTTTTTTTTTTAAACTCTGGTTCAGCATCACAACCTAAAAACCTAAGAAAATCTCATATTTCTTCTGGTTCCATCCTAATTTTGTATTTCCACAGCTGTAAAACACTTGGCATATTCATTTCACATGGCTGTTAACAAAATGGATTTGTTTGTATTAACAAGAAACATGAAGCTCTGTTGAAAGATTCTGGCTGAAGTAAATACTGTACCAGGTATCGAAGGGCATAAAGACAAAATGCAACTAGTTCCTCAGTTTTCTTCAGGCTGCCCAGATTAAAAAAGGGCAGAATATCTGCTCATGATATGGTCTTTAGAGACAAAAGCAAACTTCAGAGCACCATCTACAGGAATGACTGCTTACCACAGAAATGAACAACAGCCATCAGTAGTACCTTTTGAAGATTTTATTACAGATACACAAGATTCATTATCATGTGTATTAGTCATAATAAATTTAAGGACATACACTATTACCTGTAAGTTCAAGTCCAGATTTTTATCTTCAAAGCAAGGTTCTTAAATCACAAGGCATCATAACACAGATGATTTAGACAACATTCTGCTAGCGCAAATCCAATGACAGACAATACTAAACAATATTTTCAGGCACTAAAGGAAATAAACCCATATTATAAAACACATAACTAAGGAAGTTGTATTTGTCTATACAGATATACACTGTGGTAAAACCCAGCAGTTTTAGTAGGGAGAATTTACTTGACACTTTGTTGAGTTAAAGGAATTCCATAAGCTGCTGCAAAAGTTTTTAAAAAAAGTCAAACCTCTAAATTCTATTTTCAATAACCTTACAAATCTCAGCTCATCATTCTAGAGCAGCGATCTTCTGCAGATATCAAGTTGTTTGAGAACGTGTTTCCACAGAAGCAGTTGTGACAGAATCTTCATAATATTAATTAAAAATTATATGACATTTGCTAAAACCCACATAGGTATATGCAGCCTAAAGCATATGCTTTATCTGTCTGAATCACTTCACCATTTAATTTCCAATTTGACTACATCAATGGACAAGGGAAGAGCAGAGAATGTCATCTATTTGGACTTCTATAAGGCCTCTGACATGGTCCCCCACAACAGTCCTCTCTCTAAAATGGAGGGATATGTATTTGATGGGTGGACTATTCAGTGTTTAAGGAATTAGCTGGATGGTCACATCCAGAGAGTAGTGGTCGATGGCTGAATGTCCAGATGGAGATGGGTGACAAGTGGTGTCCCTCAGTGGGGGTCTGTATTGGGACCAGTGCTCTTTAATATCTTCATCAGTGATACAGACAGTGGGATCAAGTGCATCCTCAGCAAATCTGCGGAAGACACCAAACTGAGTGGTGCAGTTGACACACCTGAGGGATGGGATGCCATCCAGAGGGATCTGGACAAGCTTGAGAAGTGGGCCCATGTGAACCTCATGAGGCTGAACAAGGCCAAAGTTCAAGGTCCTGCACCCAGGTCAGGACAGCCCCTGGCATAATACATGCTGGGGGATGAAGGGATTAAGAGCTGCCCTGCAGAGAAGGACTTAGGGGTACTAGTGGATGAAAAGCAGGATATGAGCCAGAAATCTGCACTCACAGCCCAGAATACCAACTATATCCTGGACTGTATCAAAAGAAATGGGGCCAGAAGGTCAAGGAAGGTGATTCTGCCCCTCTATTCTGCTCTGGTGAGACCTCACCTGCAGTACTGTGCCCAGCTCTGGAGTTCTCAACACAAGAAAGAAATGAGTGTGTTGGAGCAGGTCCACAGGTGGGCCACAAGAATAATCAGAGGACTGCAACACCTCTTCTGTGAAGAAAGGCTCGGTGTTGGGGTTGTTCAGCCTTGAGAGGAGAATGCTCCAGGGAGACCTTATTGTGGCCTTTCAAGAGGGCTTATCAAAAAGATGACAGCAAACTTTTCAGGAGGGCCTGCTGCAATAGGACAAGGGGTAAAGGTTTTAAACTAAAAGAGGGTAAATTCAGATTAGACATAAAGAAGATGTTTTTTACAATGAGAGTGGTGAAACAAGTTACCCAAAGAGGTTGCTGATGCCCCCATCCCTGGAGACATTCAAGGTCAGGTTGGACAGGGCTCTGAGCAACCTGCTCTAGTTGAAGATGTCCCTGCTCACTACAGGAGGTTTGGACTAGATGTTTGGACAGATGAACAGCAAACGATTTTTCAGTGTCTTTCATAACAAAAATTACAATAAAAGAAACTGTTTGGTAGCCAGCTTCAAAACAAAGGGAGGAATTTCCTTAAATACCTCACAGTGATTCTGGGGAATACTGTGTCTCATAGCATCACGGATGCTAAAAGCTCACATGGATTCAAAAGGTGTTTAGAGACCTTCATGTGGGTAAAAAACAAACCACAAACAAACACCCTGCAGGGCTATTCAATACAAACATACTATGTTTGCTTCAGAAAGCTCCTGAACCAGAAATCACTGGAGGCTGAGTGACCTATCCTATTCTGTCATGTATCCATAGGCATTTGATATCCACTGCTTTTGAAAACAAAATAGTGACCTAACCAGACTTTTGGTACAAAAACTAGTATTTGCATAGAAAACACAGAGGAACAAAAGCTTTTGGAAAAAAAAAAGTGTTCAAAGACAACAGGGTGCAAACGGAACAATAAACAATTGTTCTATGTTTCTGCCCAGGTCAAATATTTCATGAAAGGTAGTAGCAAGCTCTGTCTCCCGCACCTTGCGAATTAATACATGGCCAGTTCCTCTTTATTACAGCCCTCAAATCAAATGGGAAATTATTGTTTTAGAAAACAAAAAAGGCAATAGCAGCTTATGTTATCAGCAGAATTCATTAAGCATACATTACAGAAAAAGCTGATCAGACAATTAGATGCAGTCTAAAATCAAGAAAAGATGGTCAACTCTATTAGTGAAGACTGAGACGTATACATGACACGAAACTAAATCAACCACAAATACTTAAAATATTACCAATATTTATCCTTTCTAAATGAAATGCATATAAACCATTAATTCTTCTACCTGTGTATTTTCCTGACGGCTCAGAAAAAAAAAAAGATAATTCACTCTTATACATGAAGCAAATATTTTACACACACAAATGTGTGAGTATTTGCAAGAGAACAAAGAAACTCAGAACAAAATTCCTACAAAGGTGAACTTCCCATAGACGTTTTTACTCAATCTACTATTTTCCATCAACTTTGTAACTGTAGCCAATATGGAACCAAGATGGCAATCTCTCTCACAAATACAAATTTCACTGATGTCAGAACAGTACTGTGCATGTAGTTAAGTCCTGAAAGTCATCGTAATTATACTGTAGCCATTGCTCTCTATGATTGGAATATAAATACCACCACCAGTTCTAATCATGAAAGCACTACTTCCATCTCTGGTACAATTCTGCACTGATTTGCCAATAGCATAGTTGTCTTTAAGCTATTTTTGGAGCTCTTCCAAATCTTATTAGGGAGCGGGCTGGTAAAGCAGTTCCAAGTCTCATTATGGAATAAAAACTAACTTTCAGTACTCCTCCCTAAATGGGTATCCAGACATTTCAGATGTGATACTTCACAGGGCCTGTGCAGCCACTGTCTGCTGGAGGCTTCATAAAAAGACAATTTATCCATAACCTGGCTCTTAATCTCCAGGCATGTAACTGTGCTATGGAGGAAAAATTATTTTACTGTCTGAAGCAGGAAAATAAGAAACCATTACAATTTAATGCCTACCCCACTAACAGTAAGCCTATTCACATGCATCCCTTTCGCTCATCACCTTAGCATAGTATCTTAGAAAATCTGAAGGCAGTAAAGTAAAAGAGATGAGTCTAGAAAATTGGTGGCAATTGTATCTTTTTAAATGAAAGCACATTATTCCTCAATCCTACGGAATGGCAGAAAAGAGGGAAAAAACCCTTCTGCCAAAGCACTCCTGAAAGTAAAACACTCTGAAATACAGGTGAAAGTAATGCGCTTACAATTCAACCAGAGAACTACCCAATTAATAGGTATAAGACTCATATTTCCCCTGTGAATAGAAATTAGTAACCCAAAAATATCCTTTGCAGGTTTTGCTGTTCACAAAATTTAACTTTATCTCTCATACACAGATATATTATTTAACAGATGTATAACACATATGACAGAATGTATGTGTCTACAACAAATGAAAGATTAAAGCTTAAAGTATTATTTTTTTTTACTTGTCAAAGTTCAGAAATTCTAGGCAGTTATACACGTTAATGTAATTTTATACCCTTTATACCTATTTTCACACAAGTATGCAATTAAATTTATTAAAAAAAAATACTTCTGTGGTATAGAATCTATCTGTCACCTGACACCACCTCACAATCTCTGCCACTTTGTGCAATCTCATAAATTATGGCTTCATGATAAACTAAAATCTGCTTTGTGGACTCTGAAATCTGCACCAAGAGCACTACAACAACAGGCACAAAACTCAATCTGCACGTTTAGAATTAAGCAAAATGTTTTGGAGGCTAACTTCATACCAGCTGGTTTTATCCTGGATGAGGTGTCATTCCTCCTCCCAGAGCTGAAACAAAACCTTAAATCTGGCTTAAACTCTCACTAATTTGACAGAAATTTGGTAGCATTTCAGTACTTGATCTAGATAAAATCTGATGTCCCTGCCAATGGCAGGGGTGTTGGACTAGATGGTATTCAAAGATCCCTTCCAACCTAACACGTTCTATAATGCATTTCGTGATTCTGGTATATCATACAGTAACCAGCTGCAGTGAAGATGAGATGTTAAATGTAATGAATTTGCAAGCCCAGACACATCCCTGCACAATAGTGAAAAGGTCTGATCACAAAAGATGGCTCTGAAGTTCATCCTCACACGAAGCACGCCTCCTTTCCAAAGCCTTGACACTAATCGAATAAAGAAAAAGACACTGGGCATAGACAAAGTGTGTCACGTTAAAGGGATCACGGAGCAAAATCTGGGCAACAACAGGAAGCTAAGAGCATGGTGTATTACAGTACTTACCATCACCACCCTCAAAGTCCTTGAATGCAAGTTCTGAACCTGAGTCATCAAGTAGGATTTCACCATTCAAGGTGAACATCATAGTATGCTCATTCATGTCAACCATACATCCAACAACATCTCCTGCCAACCAAGAGCGGCCAAAATGCTCATTACCTTGATGCCATCGCTGTGCCTGGAAAGGATTTAAAAGAATTTTAAAGATTAATTGTGACAATGTATGCATTCCTCTCTCTCTCCATGGTACAACTAATAATTAGCCCCCTCAATTAAGATTGCATTAAAATTAACACTTTCACAGTGTATCATTCGAAAACAATGCCCGTGAGTACTCCAAGCTAACTTTGAAAATCAAAATCTAACAATTAACCTTCTGCAAGTACCCCTTACATCAATGCTGTAAAAAGTTGCTAAGTGAGCTGCCAAGGAAAATTGCTATTTCAACATTTTAGTAACAATAAGAGCATGGCTTATTTTTCCACAGGAGCTCCATAAAAGACTTGTAATGAAAATAATATGCTATCAATTACAATGTTAAGTAGCTGCTTCACAAATTTTTTTATTCAATTGCTTTTCTGAATTTAGTAGTCTATAAATTCACTACTTCCAAATAAACCTTATTGTTTCCTTAAGCATAATTCTAAAAATGTTGTGTAACAAATAAATTAGACTTCCTGTCATACCAGATTCTGTAAGGAACAGAATTTTCTCTGTGGATGCGACAAGCATTCTGGGCTTCTGATAGATTCCAGAGTAGTTGTGACTGACGATTTGTGTGACTGACCTTCAATTTAAAGACTGCAAAGGCTTGGGATGGGGTCTTGAATTGCAATTTAAATAAAGTAACAACTATTGAGAATTATTCTAACATGCATAAAATAAAGAAGTATTAGTAACAAATAGGTTCCCTATTAATATATTGCACCACAAGTAGATTTTAATCCTCTGTATAAATCCTGAAAATCCTACAAAACAAATGAGCCTTTCTGTGTATCCTGAAAGTCAAAAACTTTTCTCCAACCAAGGAGAGAACTCATCAAAGTCAAAGACAACAAAATAGCGTTAGGAATCGAGACCTAAAGGTCAAAATCTAAGATTCAGAAGGCAAATTACTACACAGCTCTTCTAGTAAAGACACAGGACTTGAATAGTTCATTTAGGTCAATCAGATACTTTACAAAAACAATTTTACAGAATTCTTTTTAAGGCAACTTCTCAGCTCTAACCCTTGATATTATGTAACACAATCCTGGAAAAAATTAAATTCTAACAAAATGAACAAAAGACATGTTGAGAGCTTGATCTGGCCAGAAACAGCCAGGAATACTGTTGATTTTTGTTACATATTGTAACAAAGGTAATGAATCACAATATCAAATACAATAAATATTTTTGACATGAGTCATCAGTAGCCTTAATAGCATTTATGGTCTGGATAGCAGTTGCACTTTCCTTTATACTAAAACAAGAAATTCTAATGAGTCATTTAATCTACTCTAATGAAAATCATTAACATATAAAGTAGTTTGGTTTCCTATACATTTTTACTACTAGATTTAAATTTTTCATTGCTTTATGCAAAGTTAAATTTGAGTCAAAATTACTAGTTCTATCATACTTCATTTACTCTAAATCACCAAGATTTCCATGAAAACCTAGGTATACTCCGCAACTTTTACAATTCTATAAAAAACTTGTATCAAAGTTTGCCTCAAACACTTACTGCTAATAACCTTAACCACATTTATTGCCTAGTGGCACTTACAGAGAGAAGAAAAGAGTAAAAATTTAAAGAAATTGTTCATAATTAATTACAGTTCTGCCAGTATTTTGGATTTGGGTAAGTCACTTAGATTTTCAGTGCTTTATATATTCTGTACAAACACCATAAAGCTGTGAAAAGAAAACTATAAAAATTCCAAACCCTGCTAATTAACTTTTCAGGTGACATTGTTCCTCCTTATTTTACCTAGGCCCTCAAAGAGAGAGAGAAATAATTTCATAAAACACAAATGAAAGAAGGGAAGGCAATCAAGTTGGGGCAACAACACATGGAATAAGAGGCCAAGTTAAAAGCTTTGCAAAGCCTCATATTACTACAGATAAACATATACAAACCTTAAAGCCATCAAAAACAAAAGCTTCCTCATCTGAGCCAAGTTCCTGATCTGGCAGACAACCCGGCCTGGTCCAGCCAACTCTCATGTCTCCTGCAGTAACTGCCTCGAACTCAAAGTACCACTTCCCAGCCTTCACTGCGTAAGTTTTTTCTGTGCGGAAGATCCTGAATTTTTCCATTATCCCACTGCACGCGTCCAGTCTCATTGCTGTAAAGTTTAAAAAATAAAGAAAAAAGTAAATTAAAAAAACCCAACACAGAAAGTATTGTATTAAATACTGACAAAATGAAAGCAGTGAAAATAAAAGGAATCCTTTTGAGGATAGGCATGAAAACAAGAAAGTGCACGCAGAACAGTCTGACAGGAGAAGCACCCAGCCCATTCTGTGGAACAAAAATACCTGGGTGCCTCTCTGAAATAATTCCTCACTAATTCATCAAGCACATGGGGGTGGAAAAAAAAAAGAAAAATTAGAAGTCTGACTGCAGTTACAGGGCTACAATCCTCACTGAGGTCCCAGAAACTTGATGGGATAACTCACAAGACTGGAGTTTTGCTATGGATGGATACATGTTTAGGAAGGACAGGCTGGGAAGCTTACAAGAGTTATACTTTACGTGAGAGAGCCGCTGCTTTAAAATTGTTTAAAATTGTTGAAGAGATAGTCAGACAACTATGAGATTCCATTGACTGCCTTAAAAACTGCTACTTCTCACTTCAAAGTTACTGTCTGTCAGTTGTCCAGCAGAGATGAAGAAAAAGATCTTGTTTGCATTTCTGATCTAGTGTAATAGATTATAAAACAAATTAACCCCTGTGTGAAAACAGAAGTTTTCACATACATTGATTCATTTAGCTAAGTATCTGCAGTATGAACACAGGTGCTTGTCTTAACTTACTATGCCTCATTCCAAAATGTTCCTAACTGCAAGTGATTCATAACAAGCTAGTTTAAGAGCGTTTAAGTTAAAATTCAGTGTTTGTCAGGTAATTGTAAGCACCTTTTCTTAAAGACCAAAGTGGCTACATGAAGAGTTTCAAAAAATGTTGAAGTTAAACTTTGACACATTCTACTTCTAAAAGTACTTATTGATTCTCTTACTCCATGAAAGAATAAAGGCATTTAAAAATACTGAAAAAAATGGAAGCTGGGCTGTTATTGGGTTGCTTCAGAGAAAGAGAAGAAAAGAAATCTCAAGAAAAGGATAAAAACTTAAATATGTTATTCTGTCTGGTCTGTAACACCAGTAGAAAAAAAAGCTCAGTTTAGGCATCACATTTCTGCTTTACAAAATCTGTGGAACGTAGAAGCAAAGATTTTTAAAGGGAGAAGGCGACTCCTGGTACATGTATGCTTTGAGACATAGAAATAAACCTACTTTCTCCTTTTTTTCTTGACAACTAAAAAACACAGTTTTGGACTTGGATATTTAAACTCTCTTCCAACTCTTCATCTACCCATCTGGGTTCTCTTTGGCTTATACTGCCCCTTTGTTTGCACTTCTGCTCTTTTCCTGTGTTATCCCACCATCCATTCCAGATCAATCTGTTTCAACAGAAATGTACTTTTACTTCTGTCGCTCACAAAACCACAAATCTTACCTACTTCTCCAATTTTCTTCCTTTCCTCACTACACTGAACATACTGTCTCGAAAAATGGCTTTATTGATTCATCTACAGATATGTGGCAGTTACCTACTACCTACGGAAAACATTCTCAAAAACTTCCTAAGAACACTTACTCAGTTTTATTTGAATACTACTATTCATGAGCCTTCTTAGTGCCATTCCTAACATCCTTTTAATCCTATTTGTCTTCCTTCTCCTTTCCTTCAGTATTTTATATAGTCTGCAGTGAATTTTCCCTCTCTGTAGCTTCTTCTGCTAAAATAGCTTCAACTACAAACTCATATGGTGAGTACATACAAATCTCCCTCACTGTTCTTTACCTATTACACAGTCCTAGACTCTGTTTCTGACTATCAACTCAAACCACAAGATAGCTTAAAATGACAAAAATTACACTTCAAAAAGTTGAAAATAATTTCACAAAGCACAACAAGTAATGTTGAATCAAATCTTTGATCCTCCTTCCTTAAGTCTTCTCAAGTACTCTAGGATATGGAATTTTATAAACTTTTCTTCCCGTTAATTAAATCACACAGCTCATGGATCACTCTGACTCTTTTACTCAGATTAAGAAAAAGAATGCCTAAAGCATTCTGGATCTTTTTTCCACAAATTTTCAAGGTATTAAACTCTGTGCAACCTGTGAAAATTCAGTATTCCAGTCTGACCACCATAATTCCTCCTTTTGTCTGAGTTTTGTTATAAGCTGAAATATGTCTGCACCTTCCTCTCCATTTGGTAGGTTGAGAACCTGTCTCCTCCTCTTCTGTCTTCTCAGCCACATCAAGGTCCACATTTCCAGTACATCCCTCAGAATTATCACTTCTCATGCCACTAATCCCTGACTTCAGTTAGGTCAGCTCATCAAGTTTCCTGTAAGCAACTCAGAACTCTCTGCCACATAATTCTTTATCAGTAAAATTTTCTCTTTTAATGCATTAAAAATGCTTTTGAAAACCCTTAGTACCATACTTAACACAGGAGAAGAACCACCAGAGAGCATGAGACCTGAGAATTTGTTGTCTTTTTTGATTATAATGCTTTTTAGCAACGCCAAAAATACAGCTGCTATCAGAAACCTGAAAGTACTAATAAATAAAGCATAAACAGTAACGCTACAGTTTTGTAAATCAATGTTTAAAATAGTATGAATGAAAGGAGATGCAAAACACCACTAGAGGGCTCTAAATCCTTTCATAACAGTATGGATTTAGGCTGAATAAAGAGGGTATCTATGGCACGTTTCATGCATCTCAAAAACTTGAAAGACTCATAAAATGTAAAATCTATATCCTCAAAATGAGTATAAAAATCTTTTGCTAAATATAATTCCAGTCTTTGTCTAAAAAAGACCAGTTTGTGGGACACTTCTGCAGGTGCTTTCCTCCAGGAATTTGCAATAAGATTGATGACATTTTTCAGATGCAAGGATTGCAGCTGTGTTTTTTACATTTCATCAGTTAACTCCACAGACAGAAGTATCTTAAAGATGTCTGCATTGTAAAGAAAGTTAAAAAAAAAAAAAAAGCCAGTGGGATTTGAAGGAGATGGTGGAAAATGTGTGCTCCTTGTCCCACCCACCCTACACCACTAGGCAGCCCCTTTATCTTCACAAGAAGCAAAAGCTTCCCATACCAGCTAATCCACCTTCTCTGAAACAAGCAGAAGCCATACCCGCTCACTGTACACAGCATGTCCTTCCCACAGTGGGAGAGGAAGAAATTAAAAGATTATGCAGCAGCCTTACACTCTCCAGACAAGGTATAGGCAGATTTAACAGTGAGACCACAGAATTTTGCCACCAACACAATCTACTCCACTAGCAAACATTGCTTTGCCCATTCCACAATCCAGCCTCACATACACACTCAGGGTGTCAGTGATGCCTCATATTTAAAAGTATAATTTAACAGCAGCATCTCATAAAAGCTGAGGATCAGAGTTTGTACGTGCTTTGGAAAAGAAACTGGAAATGGTAGGTTCCCTTTTTTACGTTTTAGGTACAAGTTAGATCTGCAAAAATGCTTTACTGAAGGTCTACGGCCTAAATAGGTCCAATTTTACCAATACCATCACTATATAAAGTAAGAAAAATAACAATTTATTAATCAACATATTGATAGGATAAGGTTAAGACACACTTTGCAAACTTTCCACACTTTGCAAGGATGCAAGTTTCAATTTTGATTTGATTGTTCTGTATTTCCATCTTGCCAGGAATACAACATTCACATCTACTGTGTTTACATACGATCTTTTTCTTAGCAATTTCATTATTCTGTCTTGAAATAACAAATATAGTACTAATTAAAAAGCTTTTCATTACAAATTCAATTTTAGATTGGGTAACTTCAGGAATTTATGCACATATTTAAAATGTAACCATACATTTCATTCCATAGCATAAGACCATATATTGAGCAAGATGCTAAACATGTTTTCATGATTTTCTGTATTTTAGGGCTGTGTCTTATACTATTCACAATCATGATTTAAATTGCTTAAGCTTTTAATTTTGAATTATCTGAACTATTAAATTTACAAAACGAAAAGTGAAAGGAAATATATGAAAAACAGAGAAATTGTATCACTGATTTAAAAAGGTAAAAATCTTTCATTTTGTAATTTGTCATTTGAGGGCGCAGGGCAAGAAAAGAAATCAATAAGGAAAATAAGATTAAAGGGAAATATAAACAACAGAAGATGAAGAAAAGCACCTATTAGCTTTGGAGAAATGCACCTATTAGCTTTGGAGAAACCATACCTGTTAAAATTGTTTTACTGGACCAACAAAATCCAGCAGTGAAACAGAAAATTCTGATGGTTTAGGGTGGGGGGTTTGGATGGGGCTTTTTTGTTTTTTCATTTTCTGAAAGAAGAACAAGACATCAAAATTAATTACCATGATCTTGGTCAGGAGCTTCCAGGTTGTAACCATAGCCTAGAAGTGTGCGGACTGCTTCCCGAAGACTGTCTTTGTTTGACTTTTTTGTTCGATCATCCAAAAGAGCATAAGGTACAAGGCGAGGATTTCGTCGATTTTTCACATCCTGCATAAGTGAAAAAAAAAATTAAAAAAAAATTTCAGAAACTGTGCTTTGTTTAAAAGACAAAATTGTGCTATAGCAGCAATATAAAAATTATTTATACGAACTAACATAGTAGAAATGCAAATACAGCACAGATTCAAAGGAGGCGCAATACTAAAGAAACTAGCAACAACAATGAATTTACTAAAAAAGCAAGTAATATGTAATTAAAGGAAACTGTGTGGCTTATATCTCCTTTGATTTTCCACCAAATTTATTTAGTAGGAAAACAATGCAAGCAACAAGAACAAGGATAAACGAGAAGAGTTTGGCTGAAAAGTGAAAGGGATTATGGTTTTTTTCTACACTGTTTATGAAGCAGCTACCATAACAAGAAGCTAGTACATCACTAAAGCTCAGAGACAATACTGTATCACAAATACAGTTTTTACCTAACAATAGCACTAAAAAAGATACATTACAACTTCAAAGAATTAACAAGATATAAATGAAAAGAACAAAACACAACAAATAAAGTGCAATACTAATTAATAGAAAATAATAGAGATAGCAAACCTGTGGCTAACTATTTTAAATACTTTAAAAATGTATTTTTTTTAAAAGGGTCTTGTTGATTAATGTGCTTAATGTACAGAATTTTTATAATAGCTAATTAAATGTAACTTCTCCTCCAGATGAAATTAATGTATTGGTAAGGTTTAATCTTTGTCTTTTAAGTTGATAAACTCAACATTCATTAGGTTTTCCTCTAGTGCAAAATTATCTTATTTGAAAGCATTATTTAACTACATTATTTATATAGCTAACATAATGTTTAGGGACTAATAACATTGTTTTCTTGTCTACATTTTCGTCTCATATCCTGTCAGCATTAGCTGGCAGTGAGAGAAACCATACAAAGAACTGTCCACTTTCTTCCTAATACCATTTTTGTTAAAAATAATAAAAAAATAAAGACCTGACATTAAAAAAACACTTGCTGTTTGTTCTCTTGACTACAAATACCAAAGATAGAAGCTTTTATGATTGGTCATAATTATTTTGCGCAGAAATAGTGCCTATTATTTTAGAAAACAGTGCCTACAGTGAATGTATCTTACTACTTTTATAGCATTACAGTTCTACTTTTAAGAATGTGGTTTTCATTCTTGCAGGATTCTTTTGTTGTCCTTTAAATGCTTAGACACAAGGCTATCTGCCCTTTGCCTTATCATGGTGAGTAAATATTGAAATGCAGTTATTAGCCAGTCCTTGACGAAATCTGGTCCTACTAGTGATCCTTCTAGGAGTAGAAATATGTGACAGACATTACCTACATGCTAAAAGGGCCAACACAACCATCTGAGGAGGCTACTTCCCATATTTATTCCAAACATTTAAGTTGCTATCTGTCTTTTTCCAATATTTAATATGGTAGATGTGAAAAAGTGCTGTTTTCAGAATAGAATGAATCAAATAAATGTTGAAGTAAACGTTATAAGGAATTATTATTTGATATAAGAATATTCACATTAACACAAGAGATGAAACACCATGGGTTTATTATTTGTCTTCAAAATGACATAAGATGAGAATTAATTTCCTCTGAAACACTGTATGTCCAAAACATACTACAAAATACTGTCTTTAAAAATATGAAACTGAAGTTTGGAACAACAATTACGCAACTTCTTATCCATGATATATGGTTAGATTAATGCACTGGTAATTTCCATAGCAACTATTAATACCATTAACTTACCGGCAATCAGCTGAGAACAATGTATGATAATGAAGTATAGCGTTAAGTGCTTTTAGAAAAGCCTGAGCACAAAATCACAGCAAGAAAGAAAATCATGAAGAAACCATAACTATTAAACTAGATTTTACAATTTTTTCCCTTGAGTCGAATTTTATTTAATATTGTGACCTGTTTTATCCACTCAAGACTCTGGCTACTTTGTTAAATATGAATATGAGAAGGGATTTTTCTTTTAATAACTTTAGGGTTTTTTCTTACGTCTATCTAAATTTTTAATGTTTTACTTATTGCTGAATCAAGAACTGTTACTGTTATACTCATCGTAAGTTTTTGTACCAAAGATTTTCTGCAGCTCTGTGATTTAAGTGTAGCTAATCAAGGGAATGATCCTATACAGTGATTGAGATTTGCACAGTCGTAATCAAGTCAACAAGAAAACTGATTAGCTAAGAATGGCATTTTTTATTGAGTACATTTGGAATTCATACATAGACTTCTTCCTACGCACTACAGAAAAGTTACTGTTTTATGGTGTAGACTGTTGTAAAGAAGGAAAACTCAGCCTAAGTTTTAAAATTTGTCACTAGAATTTTCCAGGTTTGACAGTCTAATAGATCATCAGAAGCCTGTGTTCTGTGCAGAGTTCGTCTGGCAACTACTTTCTTCACTGAGTCATTTGAAAGAAAGCGCGCATCTCCTCCAGAAGACAAAAAACACCCAAACTTAAGCTTGTTGACAAGATTCTATTTCAAATAGTTTAAACTGGGTAATGCATATGAAGTTTATATAATTCTTTGGGTTTTAATTCAAACAACATATTACAAAAATAGAGCCCATATATATTGTTACACAACCACCTAATAGAACACAAAAACTGCGTTAGTCATTTAGAATTTTATTTGGAGTTGCTTAAGTAAAAGAAAGCACTGCAACTGTGAAAAGCTGGAATGCCTGGCAGACTATAAATGGAAGGAACTAGTAACAAAGTTAAACTTGAGTGATGTAACACTGACCATGAAAGTTGGTAATACTTCACACAGCGTAAGCTACAGATTTTGTTATATCCAGCAAATGATAGAAAATTACTTGAATCGGTGGCATACATATACTTATTCATAGAGTATAAATAGATTTGAAATAGGCAATAATTGGTCAACGACAGCACTAACTATATATCTTAAAAGTAATAGAAAAAAACTACAGAAAAAAAATACTTGAACACATACCAACAAATATCAACAAGCCTTTTAAAAATTCGATTACAGATAAGTAATACTGCTGCAAAATAATTCATAAAGGAAGCACACTGGGAGCTGAGAGGTGCAGAACTGCTTTCAGTTGTTCTTTATGTGACATGTAAATAACTGATCTAGCAACTCATCTTGCAACTTGCACAGAGGGATGTCATGTAAGAGTATGAACAAAACAAGAGGAATGTCCACACTGTCCACAGCAGCACAGAAAACCAGAGTCAAATTTTATAATAGGTTCCTCTTTTAGAGCTGCTTAAGACATACAGCATGCGTAATAAAGTTTTACTCTTCAGAAGTAATTCAGTAACAGAAAACAAAGCCTCGTATAAACCTTTGCAATTATAGAGAACACTACAGTTTTCAGAGCTCTAAATGTGATACTGTGAGCCCTGACACTCCTGGGCCTTCCCAAAGCTCTGAGAAGTACAGCAACAGAACAGATGACTAGAATAAAAGGAACACAAAGACACCACAAACATACAAAAATAAGTGCCTATCAAAAAGAAAGACAGGCAAAGACTGGAAAATAAAAACACAGACTAGGAAGAGCACAGGAAAAAAATATGGTGATAATGTAACAGAATCATAAGCTTTGCGATTTAAAGTGTAAGAGCTGCACAGATACATATTCTGTGAGGTACTGAAACGGCTTTGTTCTCATAACCAAGGCTGTTAAAGGACAAGCACAAAGCAAACGTATTTCAGCACATATGTGGTAAGACAGACATGCTGTTGTTTTCATAGCTTCATTTGTACCACTCGAAAACACTCATTTCACAGCTGTGAATTGCTTTTGCTTGCTGCCATGTCTGTGGATCCCGCACTTCCACAAAGGCTTCTGAACAACTTCCACAACAAATGCCACTGGAGAGCTGGCCAGCAATGCTGTCAGAAACCCAGCTCCAGAAGCCACTGGGTGAGCGGGCAGCATGTATATACTGGCTGGACTCCATCACCTTAAAGGTCTTTTCCAACCTAAGCAATTCTGTGACTTACCTACATCATAAATGTAACATCTTGTTATCTAGAGGTCTAGCTTTTCTGCATTTATCATGGTATCTCATATTTAACTACAAACCATTAAAATTACAAATTACTTTCTAGGGGAAAAAAAGGAAAAAATTATAATTCTAAATTGGTGTTTACTAAGTAATTTCAAGATTCCAGAGTTATTAGAACTGGAAAGTACAATGAAGTCCTCACGAAGTCATATTCTTGACAATGTTAACAAATATCCTAAACATAGTCAGCCAAAGAGGAAGTTGTGTTCCTAACCTGGCATAGTAGCAACCGAGTTCTGTCCTTAGAAAGTATGTATATCCTTAGAAATAAGTATGCAGCTGCTACTATCTTCACTGGGAACCGTACCCATATGGAATTCCTGGCAGAATGTGCCCTGGCTATAAAACAGCATGCCAGTATAAATAACATAAAATGTGAAAATGAGGCAACATAAGTAGTTTTCACACAGACAAGGTATGTGACAAGCTTTTAACTTGTGATTTTGCTCATAGGTCAGTATTTCCTCAGTCTGAATTTCCAGAACAGTGCCTCTCTTGCATTACAGCACTAGGCAGTCTGAGAAGACAAACTCCTGATTAAATGGTATTACCATATGCTTTCTACAAAAAAATAAAAAAAAAAGGTCAAAATCTGTACATGTTAAAAATAGAAAAAGCAACCTCTGTTATATCAGGAACTTGTTTATTTTAACTGACTTACATAAAGACTATATTGCTCCTTTTCCAGGATCTCCCTTATCTGTCTTTGATCATTTACCATTTCCTCAGTTCAGAGAAGACCAACCTGTAGGCAACTACTTCTCCCTTTAAAAGGACATTGTCAAGTACTTTCTGATTTTGTGCTTGTTTTTTCCTCTTACCCTTGCTATTTAATATGCTCTTTTAAGCAAAAATATGTAATTTTCCCACCTGTTTTGTTTCTTCTGCTCCCTTCATGAAGCAATAAGCTACTGTGAGTTTGCCCTACTGACAAATACTTTCTTGTTTGTGACCAGTGTCATCACAGCTGCCAGCACAGTACTGGGAACAGGACTTACTAGTCAACTCGTGCTCCCTCTGCTGGCTGGCTGCTTGGCTCTGCAGCAGCAGAACAAACATGCTGTGTACAGTCACGCACGAAGAGCAATTATCTCTTGTCTAGAAAAAATCCTGGCAAGCAGGGGTGGATTTAGAAGAAAAAAAAAATATCTGAAACTTCGAAGGCATTTTCCTCACTGGCTCATAACGGGAAATAAATGGTTTATTCAAGAATTACTTGACAGTAATTTTTCAAATTATATAATCCCAAAATGATGAGGCACCTACTAGATAGCCTAATCCATCCTAGAGTCACAGCACAATTGCTGTTTATAACATATTTCCCAGTGCTTAGTTCATCTACTTTCAAACATCTGTAAGCTTTTTTCCCTTAGGAAACTATTTCATAGCTCCGCTAGATCTGTTTATACTATTATACAGCATAACATCATGTCACTTTATGACAGTACTGTAACATGTCACAGTAATACGGTGGGATGACAAAATGTAACCCATGAAACAAACCCATTGTGGGAGTCAAGTAGAAGCACAGAGCAGTGTGGATAAGAGCTAGCAGCTTGCCATGGGATGTGAACATCAGCTGAATGAGAAGCACCTTCGCACAGCATCCAGAAAGGAGCACCTTGCTGTCCTGCTCTCTTTTTTTTTCTTCTGCAGGACATGGTACTGGTGGGAAAGTTTTCAAGGACATAATCTACCTGTTTAACTGTACATGAGACTACTGTAATTTGACTGTCAAGAATAATGAGGTAAAGTATACTGCTGATCTTGTTGATCTCTTGCCTAAGGGTCATGAATATTTCTAAGCTCTTGATGACCTTTAGTAACCATCCTCTGCTGAAAGCTTAACTATGTCACTGTTCACTGCACTATTGCATTACGTTCTCAGTGAGAGTGCACGCCCCCGCCCCCCCGCCCCCAGCAAACTGAAATCTTCAGTCATTTTGCATGAATCAGACCCAATAAAATGTTTGGATATGTACAGCAGAAGCATCCAAGACTGCAAAACCCTGAATAATTGGCTTTCCAACTTCAAATATGATCAGCTTCACAGGCACTTAAGCTTTTTACTTTTAAATTCTCCAGGTCCTTCTTTGCATGCCCATAATTGTCTTTGCCTTGTTAAGGAAGAGCAGTTCAATACTGATCATATCCCTAAGCCCAGTCAAGATTTAGAGCAGAAACATTTGGCTAGGTGTCTTTTGGAGCACAGCCTGGTAGTCAAAATCAAAGTCAGATTCACACCAACTGCTTAAAACATCTGTAAACCTAACTAGTGGCTATCACTCTATTTTAAAACTTGGCAGGTCTAAGTGATAGTGATAACGTCATTATATATCAATTTGTCATTGATCCTCAACATGAATTTAGATACCTAATTCCTATTTGTCCAGTCAGATATCTTTGAGTACATCAATGTCAATTTTAAAACCCTACAAGACTAAGGTGTTCAAAACTATACTTTCGTCTTCCAAGAGTTTTCTCACATCAGACTATAACTTGCAATAAGTGAGCACAGATTTAATTTGCGTGTTGAGCTTTGTCATCCAACGAGCAGGGTATTTACTAGGAAAGGAGTCCAGGGGAGATCCAAGTTCCAAGGCTGGCCCTCAGGACAATATTTTAAGAGTCAGTATATAAAATACAGAGAGATGTTCAGTGAGCAGATCAGAGAGTCCTCCTCTTTCTCTCTATTCTCTCCCAATGAGCCTCAAAAACATCTCTTCACAGAGCCACAATGTCCTAGATTCAACAGTAAGGTCAGTCTCTTTCCCCAGGCACAGCACTGAGACCAGACAGACTTCAGGATTCCTCTGACAGTAAGTTGTTTATAATTTCAGGTTACAGAGCCTACCACATTTGTCTAACTGATGTTTTTATTTTTTTTTTTAATGAAATTGGTGGCCTAGGGTAACTTCACTGCTTTCTGGAAACCATAATAAAACTAATGATTTATTACTATCACATTACACCTCTTCAAAAGCAGAAACTTCTATATCAACAGGTACATCAAAACATACATAAAGACAGTGTATAAACACATTGTGTAGATGCAAAGGAGAAGCATATTTCATTGCCACCCACTCCCACTACATCTTTTGCTTTTCTTTCTCAATGCAGTAACACTAGAAAACTCTCTGAAAGCACCATTTAACTGCCTTTTCTACTTAATACCTTACTAATTCAGAAAAGATGTCATTTAACTGCAAATTCACTCCCATAAATATAGTAAAATTATCTATGAGGGGAGTTGTGGGTTTTTTTAAAGACACACAGATACACAGGGAAAGTTAAATTGTCTTCAAGATCTAAGAAACTTTATTCACTATATGTGAGTTGGTTTAAATTTTCCCAATGCTAGTTAGAAATGTAGTTAGCTGAGTGATATATTTTTATTCCAGAAATTTAACTTCATCTTAAACAATAAATTCTGTTGCAAAATTAGATTTAATTTGGGGATATATCAGGGTTTTATCAAATCTGTAACTGTTTCTCAACTTTCACTCATTTCAAATTTCCTGATTGGTGTGTCCTGTATTGAAAATGTCTGGCTTCTGGGAGAATAAAATATATGGGAGGCATGGTGTAAATTATAGAGTGCATTCTTTGCTATAGCAGAAAATATTTCTTTTGAGCACCTAGAGACATATTGACTCATTCTAGGAATGAATTGTCCACTGCCTCCATAAACACCGAACTGAAACAACGGGTTCAAAATGAATTAATCTGCTCCCCCTACCTGACAACAGGGAAACACCATTTCCAACACTTCTCATGAATAATATTCTATCAGAAATGTTAACAGCACTTCAAAGGGCCACTTTCCCTTTACTCAAAGACGCAGTATTAGGGGAAAATTTAATCCTGTTGTAATCATGGGAGTTGCACCAACACTGGAACATCTTCACTGTCTATCTAGTAAGAGATATTCCAGTCTGCAAATGCAAGAACTGGCTCATTATATGCCTAGACTCAGTACAGACGACAGATTTCCTCAACAGTCCACGCAGTAGCAAAATGAGAGTTTTATAGTAAGATAGTATAACGGACAATGCTGAAATGCTATGCGGCATATATTCTGTCACAAAAAATGTACTTTGTCAGTATGTGATGAGGTGAATTTAAGTGACTGGATTTTTATATTTTTTAATATATTTTTTAGGTACAAAAGCTTTGCAAATAGAATGAGTTTTGGTCTTGTAGAGAAAAAAATTTGAAATGTGTTGAACTGACATAATTTGAATTTTTGTGAGAAACCAAAACATTGTTTGTATGAAGGAAAGGGTATGTACCTACAAAACAGCTATTTCTCATTTTTGTGAAGATAATGATCTTTTATGCCTGGCACAAAACCACAAAAAACTCTTTTTTTATGAAAGGAGTGAATTTTCCTAAAATTTCACTCTGATATGCTACTATACACTCATTAAGAGAAGTGAAGACACTTTTCTCTATACAAAATTGAAAAAAATTCACAAAAATAATAAAAAATATGACTCCTAAGTGAAAATTTATATAGTATTTGTCTTGAAAATTAATAAATTTGGCTTATTGTATATCCAATTTATTTTTTCAGGAAAAAAAGGGCCCTGA